TGAAGCATCGTGCAGGGATATACTTATTCTTGGTGGGTGTGTGTTTAACCAAATCGCACCCATTTTCCCTAAGCGAGATAAGTGAGATGTACTCATGTCTGAATACCTGTACCCATTGTGTTGAATAGTGGGTATTTCGTGCAAATCTGGCAAGAGAGACATGATTAGATTCTCTGCCCTCCATTTTATTGATCCTAAGCCCCACACCAAGCTCCTATTTAATTTGATTTGTGTGTGCTGCCACACAATGGCCAATAGTCCAAGTAGTTGGAGAGACTGATGAAAAGAGTGCACATGCCCTAAAGTAATTGCGTGTAATGCCTGTTAAACTCGTGACCTCTTCATCTGTCACTTTAATTCTATTGAATATAGACACAGAGTCCCTTAGGTTCACAGCAATAGTAGCAAACACATGGAAAACAAAAATATGAACTGGCTGGTCATCTTATAATTCAAGAGCAGAAAGCAATGTCATGAATTGATGATACATTATCAAGGGGTTCACAATCCTCTTTACAGTTTGCTTCCAGTAAAAGAAAATTTTCTTCGTGGCTACAAACTATAGAACCACAATTAAGAAAGCTCACCAACCAGCTTAAGGCTGTGTCGTCTTTGCCAAAGGGGGCCCCATCCCTCCCAATGGCAACCTTAAAAGATCCTATCTCCTTGCCAAACCAGTTAAGTTTATCGATATGGTGCTTATCAGCTTTTAAGTAGAACTAAGCTAGTCTCAAAAGCAATTCAGTGACCTGATGCTGTTATACTTAACTCTGCTGACAAGACCATCTTTATACAATACATTTACACTTCTGACAAAATTAACATCACTGCTTTCAAATTCCTTTACATTTTAATTTACAATAATAGGAATACCTCTTTCTTTCAAAACAGGGGAAACTGAACACATCTCCCTGAGTTGATCTACAGCAGCACCTTTTGTAACAGTTGCAAAAAGCCCATAATAGGCTGGCTTCATGTTGTTTGGGCTTCCTCCATGGAATTCCATAGCTGCCCGTTTAGTTTCGTCTTTCTTTCTATTGGAAGTTCTCTTTGGGCCACTTATATCTCCTTTCTCAGAGAGGGTTGTTGGAGATTGTAGTCTCTTCTCAACAAGGGAAAAGGGAAATGTATTTTCTTTATTGGATTTCTTCTTTGCAATCTAATAAAGTAAATGACTCAACTTAAAGGGGTCACCAAAATATCAGTAAACAAGCCCAATTAATATTTATTAAAAAAGCTAGCCCAATTATTGGAATCATCAGTTCCACCATCCTGAGGTACATTGTGTATCTGATCATATACACAGTATCAAAATATGTAGCTGGGGAGAGATGGGGAAGGGGCAAAAAAACTATATCTTACAAATGGGGGTTCTAAGGAAAAACCAAACATGACATAACTACCGTTGCACCAGCCCTCCTCCCTGTAAGTTATGGCCAGTCCCTTATGCGTATAATAAAGAGTTGTTCTTGTTCATGCAAGTCACATACCTTGTGCATGTTGTTTAACTCGCTTGTGCTTCTATCAATATAATTCACCTATATGATAAGAGAATAATTTGTGAGTAAACATATATAAATAAATCACCACTTCCCACCTTTGATCACCCTGTTTCCTGAATTGCTACCGGTATTCTGCCATTGTCCATGTTTTTAAATGGTAATAACCATAATTGAAACAAAGGAAAATCAAAATTACACCATAATATATAGGTAAATAAATGCTTTGCAAAAGTTATACACACGAGTTTAATTTATGAAATACAGCATTTTGGATGCAGGAAGGCTATAACACTCTCTTACTCTATCTTGAATACGTTTTAGTTTTGTCCGCTTCCTGCTCAGGTCGGTGTTTGCTTCTAGCATCTTTTTCACGATCTCATCTTGCTCCAATTTCTTTGATGCCCTATATTTACCTACGGGGAATCGTGTATAAAAACTCATTCTACGCGCCATCATTTCCTCCCATAGGTACACCACATATGGAAGCTGAAAGGCAAAAGTGAAAAATGAGGTTTACCTATAATAACTTTGCTGAAAACTCGAGCGCAAATCTAAAATTTGGAAAAGAACAAACTCGTACCTTAGTAATATTCTTCGTATTGTAGCTTCAATATGATCAAAAACAAGGAACTCGTCTACGTTCTTTGAAGCCAAACATTGCCATCATCGAATGAATTCGTTTATTTCAGCGAGCCGGTAAAACTATGGCATAAGCTATTTATTATCTACCTCAGAAAGGAAGTTTTAACTTTGCTTGACGCAAAAGCAGGTGGTTTAGACAAAAAGATTTGCTTAACAAAGACGGTAGTTGACAGTTTTAGATTCATTCCTCCCATTATACTCAATTACGTATGATGCACAATCCTCGCAGTAGATAGCGCTATTTAAGCAATAGCGAAAACCAGACCTGAAAAAAATCAGGCCTGTACGGGACTCGAACCACTGACCTCTGCGATACTAGTGCAGCGCTCTACCAATTGAGCTAACAATAATAATTGTTAATAATTTTTTTTTTTTTCAGGTCTGATTTTCGCTATTGCATAAATAGCGCTATCTACTGCGAAGGATCGTGCATCATACGTAATTTGAATAATATTTCCAACGAAGAAGAGTCAGAATGGCTGGCAAATATACCTCCAAGTTTATTAGATGAATCGAACGAAGAAACACAGCTAGACAACCCGGACATTTCTAGGTTTATTGAAGTAAAAAGAAACAGCAACACGACAACGCACAACACGACAACGCGCCAATTCCGTTCCGCTTCGCATACTTCTGTCACGCACTCCCGTAAATAAATATCTGCGAGATTCGCCCGCAGAAACAAAAGTTTGGCGTGTTGGATAATAAATAACTTATTAGACGTTTTGTTGTGTAGTATCGCTGAGTATTTTTACGAGGTGTGTCGTATTTTGAGGAGCCCGTAGGGCTCCTCAAAATACAAATAACGACACAGCTCGTAAAATACTCAGCGATACTACACAACAAAACGTCTAATAAGTTATTTATTATCCAACACGCCAAACCGTTGTTTCAGCGGGCGAATTTCGTGGATATTTATTTACGGGGAGTCCGTGACAGAAGTATGCGAAGCGGAACGGAATTGGCGCGTTGTTGTGTTGCTGTTTCTATTTTCTTCATTAAATGAAGAAATTTTCTGGTCGTCAAGCTGTTTTTCTTCGTTCGATTCATCAAATGAACTTGGATCTATATTTGCCAGCCATTCTGACTCTTCGTCGTCGGAAATATGATTGAAATTGTCCGCCACTTTTTTTTTTCCGTATCTACAATCCAATTCTTCGCTTGCGCGATGCGAGAAAACCAGTTTAACCGGTACTACAATAGACGAGTACAACTATCGCGTGATATTTGTACTAGTCTATGGCGTTATTCGTACTCGTCTAGGTGTAGTTGGATAATAATCAGCGATACTACACAACAAAACGTCTAATAAGATATATGTATTGTCATTATTACATTGTCAGTGTCATGGTATGTTGTATTTATTTAGGATATTGTCTTTGAAAAGCCCCATTGGGGAAATTCAGTAAAGTATGTATGTATGTATGTGTGTATAATAGTGCTGGTCATAGTTGGGTGAACATCACATCTCTCCGTTGAAGTGCACGTGGCCACACTTTTGTTAGCGTGTATTAAATCATTGTAAGGGTAAAAAATAAGTACCAGATCGTATTTTGCCCAAAACGAGTTGTGAAGTCAGCTCTACATATTCTTGTGCATCTTAATTACTACATATCTGAAAATGATTTTCAAATGGTTGTGNGATTGCTTCAAAAAAACTCTTGATGACCAGAAATCCAAAGCGGAACGGAATTGGCGCGTTGTTGTGTTGCTGTTTCTATTTTCTTCATTAAATGAAGAAATTTTCTGGTCGTCAAGCTGTTTTTCTTCTTTCGATTCATCAAATGAACTTGGATCTATATTTGCCAGCCATTCTGACTCTTCGTCGTCGGAAATATGATTGAAATTGTCCGCCACTTTTTTTTTTCCGTATCTACAATCCAATTCTTCGCTTGCGCGATGCGAGAAAACCAGTTTAACCGGTACTACAATAGACGAGTACAACTATCGCGTGATATTTGTACTAGTCTATGGCGTTATTCGTACTCGTCTAGGTGTAGTTGGATAATAATCAGCGATACTACACAACAAAACGTCTAATAAGATATATGTATTGTCATTATTACATTGTCAGTGTCATGGTATGTTGTATTTATTTAGGATATTGTCTTTGAAAAGCCCCATTGGGGAAATTCAGTAAAGTATGTATGTATGTATGTGTGTATAATAGTGCTGGTCATAGTTGGGTGAACATCACATCTCTCCGTTGAAGTGCACGTGGCCACACTTTTGTTAGCGTGTATTAAATCATTGTAAGGGTAAAAAATAAGTACCAGATCGTATTTTGCCCAAAACGAGTTGTGAAGTCAGCTCTACATATTCTTGTGCATCTTAATTACTACATATCTGAAAATGATTTTCAAATGGTTGTGAAAGTTTATCATGCAATCACTTTACTTTTCTAGATCGGCTCAAAAACAAACTCGATTTTCAAATACATACGCTCAGTTAGACTCAGTGGGTTGGTTGAACCTATTTGGAAAAAAACCTTAGCTATCAGATAAGCACTGATTATCCTTACACATTGTAATTTATAATATAGTTGGTAGCGCCCGCGGGCAAGGTGAAGATAATCCTGTATTCTGATTGGCTACCCGTGAGGGCGTGGGCCCATCTTTACCCGCTCAGGACTACCCGCCTTGATCCCGCACAAGAGAAAAAAAAATGCGTGAAGCGGACTCACAAAATTCGTAACTTTTGAAAAATATCGGCCACGAAGTCGCAAATGGCGGCAGAGGACAGTTAAAACAAACAAAATTACATAAATAAATAAACACGCCTCTTAGGTACACTTTCCTACAAACGCAGTTGGTTTTCTTTCCCCGTTCTCAAACTAAACAGGCCACTCTTGATTTTTATTGAAACGAAACATTTTTGCTAAATAGCAAATCCTTTATTGACTTCGTCTCGATCCATAAAAACGCCAAAAAAGAACTCTGCCAATATCCAGCCATCTTGACATTACGCTTGGTCAACAACTCATATACATATTTAAGTTCATTCTAATCCAATAAAGCGGTTGTGTAGGGCAGTAGGTCAGATTTACGCATTACTCTATAGTAGTATATCAAACCCTTCTCTTAAGACCTCGAATTAATCCCAAATACCTCAAAAACTTATTTCAGTTAATTTTCAATGTCCAAAGCCATTTAATGTGGCCAACCTAAACCGATCTTCGTCTTCAAGAAATGAGCTGGAAGTTAAGGTGTTTGTATAACTCACCAAATTAGTTTAGCGGTTTTCTTCTATTTCGAACGACTTTCTACGTTAACAAAAGTACTCAAACTATCTTAGCTCCTCTAAAGACGACCTAAAAACTACTCGGGTCCATGGAAGTGTGAGTTTTCTCATCATGTCTTACAAAATAGTAAGTATGACAAACGCTGGAGATGCACAAGAGTTAAGTGGATTTAAAGGATTTAAACATTTCTTCACAAAGCAGCAACCTTGAAATGAAAAGGCGCTGCAGATCAAAAGAAAGAAAGAAAAAAGCTTGTTTCTAACTCGTTGCAAGTCGACACCGTGTTAAAAATTAAGGAAAGAAAAATATTTATGAGAAAAGCGAGTGCTCTTGAGAATTTTATTAGTCGGTTGGCCAAATAGTTTCTGTAATGCAGGAAAATTATTTTAAATCTTAGTAAGTAAGTAAAACCGGCTATTAATCATTTTTAGAAATACGGCTTCCAGGATGCGAAAATAAGTAAGATCTAGGCTTTTAGTAAAACGGACACGAACTTGTGAGACATCCTGTACACGAATGCCCAGCTCCAACATCGTTCAATGATTCAAGTCCTGGTCAAGTCCAAGTGTAAATGAGTCTGAAGCTTCTTTTTACGACTGTCAGCGGACAGAGCCTCCGGAAAGCTAAGACTGGGAACCTAAGGACATTACAGAAAAAGGGAAAGAAAGACTCACCAAGAAAGAAATGTCGGTTAATTAATAAAAAAATATTAAAATACGTTAAATAACAAAATAAGTGAACTCAATTCAAACAGCACCATTTTCATTAGCTGTCTAATGCGAACTTTACAGCAAAATGCACCCTACAATAAAGAATATCGATACCATATAAAAATAATGTAATTTATAATAAGGATTGAATCTCAAATTAAAGTGAAAATATTTTCTTGCAATATATTGTTACATTCAGTTAAATGTGAGATTCTGAATTAACGTGTTTCCCGGAATATCTTGCACTTTAATAGTCTATTTCTTTTCATACCTCGGCAACCATAAAGCTCCATCCTTAATGATATATGAAAATACCAAGCTGTTGGTCGGAGTCTTATATAACGAGCTTGGATTGGTGGGTTCAGCTTGTGATAAACAACACTGTCCCTGTCTTTATTTCCCTCCAATGTCTGTCACATACAAAATGAACTTCATCAAAAATTTGTTTTCTATCGTGAAATAAATATAGTGGGAACATTGGCAAATGATTCAACTTTATCATCAGCGAAAACTAAGAACATGGAGTAATAAATGAAGGTAAAAGGACTCAAAACTGAAGTTTGCACACTCCTTTTGGGAGCAATTTATTATATATCTCGCTGATATGATGAGTAAACTAGGTGGGCCGTATTTTACATTACTGATGACCCGCTAAATTGAAAAGTTTGTTTGAATTGGAACCTCTCCCCTCCATTTGAATCTACACAGACGATAAATATCTTACTCAACTTGTTTCCTTGCTCAGTACTGAAAGAAACGGAATCTTGCATTTGTTTACTGATTGAATTTATGGCTTATTCACTTTGCCTAAGATCTTAAAAAAAAGAAAAAATAAAGCTGTTAAGTGTGTACTTTGATGGGCTCGACATTACCTTTGGTGAACTATGTCCTGGTACTTTATAGTAGTAGAAGTTCATTCCATCATCACTGTACTGCAGCTTGTACGCCGTTACCCATTGGTTGTGAGCATTCCTTCCCTGTGTCGCTATACCTGTTAATTTAGTGTAACTGCCAAGAGCCACCTGGATCCATTGATTTCCATTGTTCGAGTGAGCCGACCATCCTCCTTTTTTGCCTCCACCAGCCTTAAAGTTCAATCTTCCTTGGATTGCTGCATGATTTCCATCCCTTTGTGAAGATGCAGTGATTTGAGAGTCTTTGATGTGGCGACTTTCCATACCAAGAGGTGCCGAACATTCTTTACATGACAAAAATAAAGGAATAAACACATGTTTTTAGGAGTGTGAAGGGAAGAAACTTATTCATAGCCTTGTCTCTCTTTTAATTCTATCAAAAAGATGTTGGGCTAAGTATTTACTCAGCATAGAGCATCTATATTAAAATAGGATATTAATAAGCCAGTCAGTGCTGACATATTAGCGATGGAAACAGATTACAAACTGCTGCACGGAAACACAGACTAAAGGCTAAAAAATAGCTGTTACTTATTAATAACCGCCCTAGATCCCCTTTTCGAGGTCATCTTGCATAACATTTGACATTCTGCTAGAAAGTTGTTGCTCTAGAAATGTACTTCTTGACTTGAGTGGCAAGGGTTAAAACTTGTTTGTAACAATTGTTTTAAGCATGAATGAGAGCGTGTCATGGGTTTTCTCATAACTTTTGAAAAGTCGAAAACGTACGAGGGTTTTTGCATGTGTTTGCCTATAAAGGTATAAACTTAACGGCAGTGTAGGATAGAGTTGTCAGTTAGGTCCCAAATCTCAAAACTTAACTTCTAAATCAAGGATATTTGCCGCCATCGGCCGATGGGGATTCATAGTGGTCAGAACATGTTAAAATTCCCCTTTTTAAGTATATTGAGAGGAAAATTTTAACTCTCTTGGCAAACTAGAGGTGTTTTTAAGCAATCTGATATTGATTTTGTGGCTTAACTATGCGAATCAAATATTTTGCAACGTTACAAAAGATGCCTATTTTTCAATGATCTCAATGTTGCAACAGTCCCTACGTACGGACTGGGGAAATTATTACGGCCCCTAATGCAGTCAGAAAATCATTTCAAATCAAACCAAATCTAATTTAGTTCTCGACAAATCATCGAGTCTACGGACAAAGAGACTGTAACAGTCAAGGATTCTCCTTCCTCTTTGCCTCTAAAATCGCCGTCGAACGGTTTTCTCGCAGGCAAAGATCGGTTCTGGCGAATGCAATTTTTGGTTGAAAGAAACTAGGATTCCGATGCCTTCATCCCGGCCCTGTGGGACCTGTTGGTATTTGAGTTTATATTCAGATTGAAATCTCGAAGAGATTAGATTGCCAACATTTAATTTAACAGTTAGCTCTTCAGAGGAAGCATGCGAGGAGGCGAAAAATACTCTCAAAAGAAGGTTTGAAGGCAAAAGAAATAGACTGCAAAATTATCTGGGAGAATTAAGAAAATTGAATCAATTCAAGAAGGAAATTAAACGGCAAAAACTTGAGAAGTGTGCCGATACCCCTGTTAGCACAAAGAAGAATGAAAGAGTAAGAGGCAGTGGAATAATAAAGCAATCACAATGCCGCATGATTCCTGGCCCACGGGGCTCTGATCCCACATGTTGTGGGAATTTGATATTGTTCTTCAGTTCCAATATTTTGCGTCGGTGAATATTTGGCATAAATAAAAGGCCAAAATTTTACTGACGTAGTGAAGAAACAGCTGTTAGCATGAAAAACATTACAATGAAACGTTACAACTAGTTACTGTTATGGATAGTGATTAGAAATAAGTATTTAGAAATTTC